TCTCACTCCTCTCTTTGGCTGCAGTTGCCATTGTGCCATGTTTTTTTCCCCCTTCTTAACTACGTTATCAGAGAGGCACTACCACTGTCGCTGGTGGACTTGGGCTTGGCCAGTGGTGGGTCTGTCTTGGAGCTGGCTCACTTTGGCTCCATCAGACATAGGGGAAGCTTCTAGCAGCTTCTTACAGAAGCCACCCTTGTAGCCCCCCCGCTACCAAAACCTTGTCACACAAACCCAATACACAGATCTTATAAATTAGTTGCTTGCTTTGTAGAAAAAGTACTACTGCTATCACTATATGCTTATGAAGAAACTAAATGGCCTCCACTGCATGAATGTCAGCTGTTCCTGCCTTGGAGTCAATGTGTTCAAATCCAGATGATGCCTTGAATGATACCTTATCTTTTTTTATCATAACTTTTATAGTTTTAAAATTAAAAATGCCATTCTGTTACAGATCTTTCTGTGACAGAATATTACAGACCTTTAAAAAATAATATTGCAAAGAAAAGTGTCTCTTTTATCCTTAGAATAAAAATAGCAAGTTACTTTAAAACAAATAACAGCTGATGAATCATTATCTGAAGTTATGCTCTGGGCTGCAACTCAGGTCTGAACTGAACTCTTGGTTCAGCCTCACATTTCCTTTATGGCTCTAAGCAAATCTCTTTGCTCCTTAGTCTATCCTGTAAATGGGTGATGATCTTTCCTTTTACTATCCTAACTCCAAAGTCTCACACAACATAATTTTAATTTTGTTTGGAGTTTGTGGGTTCTGCTTCGCACAAGCTAAATATCACTGTATTTTTCCTCCAAAGCACTGAACATGAAATTTCAGAAGAATAGGTTCTGGCATCTACAGTCTGTTAAAGGTAACTCCTACAAAGACAATGAAGAGATTTTAACGTAGAGCAACAGGGATGTTTCATTTTTATTACTCTCTTTAGATCTGGAAGTCAACTTCTGGAGAATGCTGCAGGAGTATTTAACAATTAGTGAAAATTGTGGTCAGAGCTTGTACTTTCCCTTGGACGCGTACTGGATGTACCATATAGGAAATGCCCAAGTATCTTGAAACAGTATCTAGTCTAAAGTATAAGAACTCATTAATTCACAGTCAATATTTGTTTCCAGTTTCCTTAGAGACTTTATTTTGTGAAGCACAGCAAACACTGAGTTATCCATGAACTGTATCTGTAGCAATCAATAGTGAGTCAAGTATCCTAATTCCTTTATAGTATAGTAAATTATTTCCTTCATTACAACAAACTGGGCTGTCATCATACAAAATTTGGAGGAATGCTATTGTGTAGTATAATTTTTAAGTTTTCAAAGGAATCAAAAAACAAATTAAGCCAAATTTATAATAAACCAAAACTGTTTAAGGGTAAACACATAGGAAATAGTTCTATGAATTAGAATACAAAGAGGTTTTGTAAACTGCATGTCTTAATTTGTATTATTTTCTTAGAAAAATTCATTTTGTAAATACTGTAGTAATGGTGGATCAGGTTTTGAGAGAAGCAACAAAGACATATTACAAAGTGAAGTCTACTGTCCCACCTCCAGATCAAGATCTGCTGTATTTTCCTACACTCCCACATAGGAACAGTGACAGAATCAGAGCGATGGGAGCGTGTTTTCCGCTTGTCAGCAAAGGTAGGTCAGGCCTGCATGACCTCAGCTTGCAGGGTGATAGCTATGAGGGTTTGAATAGCCCCACAGAAAAGTCCAGCGTGACCCACTGCTGACACATGCAAATCTTTGGGCCTGAACACAGAAAGCATCCTGTTTCACTCTCCAGTGTAACCCTGAGCATGGTGGGCTCCTAGCATTAGCAAAGAAGATTAGACTTGCTCTTGAGGACAAGCTGAAGCTGTTTTCAGATGCAGTGTGGAGTACCATTTGATGATGAGCCAAGGTACTGTGGAATGTTATTTATCTCCTTCCTTCTCTGCCACCGGTTTGGAAATATCATGAATGAATACCCTAAAAGAGTTTGGTTTCAGCGCTTATATCAAGCTAATTATAACTCTGCTGGCATTTTGCAGTTGCTAATCCTAGCCAGAGTGTTCTCTGAGAAATAGTATTTGAGAGGGTTGCTTTATTTTGAGTCATTTTCCAAGCAGTCCATATAGCAATATATATACCTGTTAATTGCTCTTAGTACCTATGATAGATAAGAGAGGCTTCATCTTTTTTTTTCACATAATTGGCAGTTGCCTATGTACCTTATACTACCTAGGATATGGCCATGCAAGATTTCAATTTCCAGAACAACCATGGAAGGTATGTACATGGAGGTTTTCTAGAAATAAGCAGAAAATCTTTCAGCAAGCAATGTGCTTTATTTGTAAAATTTTACCTTTGGGATGTTATTTGAATATTATGTTGCATACAATATTGTGATGCCAGCACAGCAGATACCATGCAGCTAATTAGGAAGCTGAAGATGAATTAGAAATTGATGGTTGAGAGTTTAGAGCTTACTGTGTTTTGGTCCTTTCTGCTGCAGGCATTACACCACAAAATTGTCATGTAGGCTGTAAATGATACTTAATAAGTGCACAAAGACTAGGATACTGCTACCTGTTTCTTTTTTTTTTTCCTCTTGTCTTTTTTAACTCTTGTGAAATGTCAACAATATTAGACATAATGGTCTGTATTGAAACTTTTTTTACAAAGTGTAGCTGTCTTAGCTCCAGAGTGCTTCATCTGCTTCATTTGTATGTAATAAATAAAATTGCAGCCATGGTTTTGATTTGAATTATGTTAAGGCCATCACTAACACATAGTTAAAAGGAGAGGAAAACATATTTAGATGTAACTGTCAGAACTCCAAAGGTATATATAATACACAAAGTATGCCAGAAGTTGTAGTCTGAGGCTTGCTCTTTCAAACTCAACTCCTTTCATTACACAGTGAGTTTCCAGTTGTCCTGGACTGAGTTTCTCTGTTTTCCAAGTTCTTAAGAGAAGATTTTCCCTCCTAATTGGAGAAGGGTCTGAAACTAAAATGGGACAAAAAAGCTACAGGAGTAGCTCAGGGTGTGAAAAATGTCTCATAATGAGGGCTTTAAAACGTATTTAGTTTCTCTAACTGAAGTTGAAAGATAATTTGATTGTACTATGCAAATATATAGTGTACCGTGCAAATATATAGGTGATGGAAGATCAGAAGATAGGAGGCACTTTCTCTAAGCAAAGAATTCGTAAATGGATCCAATGGATCCATAAATGGATCTTTTAAAAAAAAGTTGGGTGTAAATCTAAAAGATGTTCTGCAGATTAGACAGAAGCTGCAGGTTTGTAGAAACTACTGAGTAAGGGTTTGTGGCTTGCTTTGCAAGAGATCGAATGGAAAGCGTGCTCACCCTCAGATGTGTCAGTTACTGCAGTTAGCATGTAGCAGCTCACTAGTTGATTTTGTTCATCTCTGAGACTGTTGCCGTTGTGAAGCTTTGTGGTAGGTGACGCCTTATTGTGATTCAGGCTAATACACTTTAAACTGTGGTTTCAAAGGAACTTTCAAATAGCCATTGCAGTAGCTCAGCTGAGTAGCTGCAATGTGATATGCTGTGATATCCTGACTGTTAAGCCAAGGTCCCAGAGGCCTTTGGGGCTGTAATATACTTTTGCAAAGTGTCGTATTCTGTGGGCTGCAACGCTGTCATTTTTGCAGTTGATGTTAAATAATTACGTTCAGGCACTAGTGGTTTTGTCTCTTCAGGGAAGCTAATGTGCAGTAACCAAAGGTAGAAATTTCTTTGTGGACTGAGATCCACTGTAAACCTCCATAGTGGACAGTAAGAATGCCTTTGTTTCAAGCATTTTTTTCCAGCAGGCATGTGGCAGCAAGCTACCTCACACGCTCTGGACGTAAACTTTGTACAGATGTACAAAATAGGGGATTTTAAATTCCTTCTCTAGTTGACTGTAGTCTAGTATCCCCCTGAAAAGAAGCCATGAAATCTACAACTGTTTTATGAAATAAGTTTGTGTAGGCTCCATTTTGTAATGGAAAAACTAAGACCAAGAGATACGCAGTTACTTTCCCAAAGTTACTCAATAGCAGAGGCAGGATTCACACTCAGTTCTCCCTCCAGAGCACAGCTAAGTGGTTCTTAGTGGATAACAGAACGTATCCCTCCAAATGAGCATTTTGGTTTGTTTAATACTTTTCATCAGGTTAACTGAGCAAAGTGTAGCTAGCATATAATCTTAATAAATTTTTTTATGGCTTGTGTTCTACTGTTGAAGGTGATATAGCATGCTACAGGAAACTTAGGGAAATACCGGGATTACTTTTAAAAAATTAAAGCATTTTATTTTGCGAATTTTATGCAAAATCTGTAACAGTACTGCTACATGGTTCATAGTAAGAACAAAAGTACGTTTTTAATATGATACTGTTTTATTGGATGAATGAACTCAGTCCTGCCTTGAGCAAAGAATTTGTTAATGATAGCTTAACATTTGTTAATGATAGCTTAGGTCCCTCCCAGCTCTATTATTATCTTTATAAGTTCAAGGAAATAGTCCCATTGTTTACCTAACTCCTTTCTTTCAAGACTGCTACAGCAATATTTTCCTTTCAAAATTAGTGTATTTACAGTTATGTGGAGGGCTTGGGACATGGGTCTCCAAAGAAACAAGAGGTACTGTCTCCATTAGCTTCATAGTTTCAGGTTCATTCAAGCAAAAGGCTTTGCCTCTGGTGACTTTTAAACTGGCTTTGTTAAGTCAGCTGACAATCTAATTCCAAAGATGTCCTTAAGAAGTCATGAACTAATTGACAGTTCAAAAAGAAACTGGACACTAAATAATTACTATGGACCTGATCTTGATAACAGTTACAAACAGGCATTATTTTACTGCCTGACTAGTCCTGTTGCTTTTAGTAGGCCTGCTCCCAGGAGGAAAGCAGGGTGCATTCACTGGGAGTGAGCACACTTGCCGTTTCCCTTTATTCCACCCCTTTCCAAAAATGGCTCTCAAGGTTTAGGCACTTCAGCAGAGTAGTATACGAAGATGCAAGGGTTGCACAGACTTCCTATGTCATTGATAAATACGAACTTTAGACTTCAGTGTTATCAGTTTGGCATGTTTCACCATAATTTAAAATTTCATTACGAGACAAATCAAGACCATTAGAGGGAACAGAAGTCTAGGACTATTTGACTGGGTTTTGTTCTGGGAGTTTTTTTGTATTGTGTTGTTTATGTTTGCTATTCTAAATTGCAGCTGTCAGTTTTCATGCCTTTTGTGTAAGATATCTCCTTGCCATAGTGAGCAATATAGGTGAAATAATGTTTAGATGCTTTTTGGAGAACTTTTATGTTCAGTTTTGTAGGACTACTTTTCTTCTGTCTCCTAAATGAGGACTTTCTATTATGTTGAAAAGATTCTGACTTTAATATTAGAAATTTTTTAAATATTCTTTTAACGTTTATCTGGAGCATATTTCAAAATAGCCTTCTGAAGCCTGGTTAGTTTGTTGATGCTAGTCTATCAGTCAGCAGTCATTTGGTAATAATTTTCAGTAGGGAAATTGAAAGTATGCAATATTTACTTGAACTTCATCCTATATCATTACTGTTGCCCCTTTTTCCTGAGGAGATTTTTGCTTCAACTATTAAGCTGTTTTTCAGTTTATCTACTGACAAATAATTTGGAAGCCTGAGTAACCTTTGTTTCAAAAAAAGATTGTGAGGGATACTATTTATTTTCTTTGTTTACAATTATATTTAACCTCTTTCAAAAGAGTCCTTGGTAAGGCGTTATCTGTCTGAAAAGAGAGAGATGGAAATTGCACCTGCCATTGGAGTATGTTCAGGAGAAAAGATTTGTGAGCCCACAACATGTGACATTCAGGTTGGAAACAGAACTGAGATCTCCCAAATGCCAATGTTTCCTGCAGTGGCTCCTGTTAGTATTTATTGTAGACTTCACTTAGTATTCTAGCATGCTGCCTTCTTGGCTGTGACCCAAGATCACACCATCAAATGCCATGTAATACAGTTTTAGTATTTGGTCTAACCCTTATAGTTAATGCTTAGTCCTTATCCTGTGTAATTTATGCTTTCTGATTTTTAACAGTAAAGGAATATTCATTTTTATAAAAGACAATTCAAATACTGACACATTCTTGTTGTCCAGAAATGTTGCTGCTCTGCCAACCTGATGCAATATTAATGGGAAAAGGCAACAGGATAATCTATTATTTGCATGCAGCTCTTAAATCTGTGTGACACTTTACCAAAACGGATCTGACAAAGAACAAAGAGTCTGCCTTAAAGAACTTAAGATCTAAAAAGCTTTAGTCAGGTTTAACAAGTGTCTTTTGCTTGTTATTGCCAATAGGTTTCAAGAGAAAAAAAATTCAAAGAGGGGAGAGTGCACAGTAATTAGAGGTGTACTAAATACAGTGAAATTAGACTGGATAAAAGTATTAAAGCTGGATAAAAGTATTAAAGCTGGCAGTTTGGACAGAAGGTTATGTAGGAGTAAGACATATTAATGCATGATCATCAGAAAGCATCAGACATATGAATAGACCGCTAATTATTGAGACTAAGGTAGAAACATAGAACAAAATATTGAACCTTGGTTTGTCTAATGTATTAATTCTGTTCCTTGTTCACTTCTTTTGGAAGAATAACTCTGTATTGGTCTCCAGCACACTCAGTTTTACTACATATAGCTTGGTGACTCTTTGTGAATTCAAACACAATCCTCTTTGCATTTTCATGGTTTCCTATCTATCCTTTAACTGCGTATTTAAAAAAAAATAAATCCAATCCAGGATTTTTACCCAGGAGAGCAAACATAGTGCTTGTGATGAGCAGTAGTCGCAAACATCATTTATACTGTGCATGCAATAATAGACAGAGTGGGGATTTTAGACAAAAAGAGCAGCATAGAGCCACACAAACTGCATAAAATTAAATCGGGACTATAGGCTACATAAGTTTCTTCAGAGGTCTTAAAAATAATGTGTTGTCCCATACACTTTCTTCACAGTATTGTAGCTCAATGGGGATTTTATTCAAATGAAGCCTTTAAAGATGTCCCCAAATGTAAAAGTCATGAGTGAAATATCTCAGTTGTTTGTAATAGGATAAAGAGCATTGCAGTTTTAAGATACCTTGCATCTCGCATCATTAAGTGTATGAAAGTTCTGGTGGATGCTGATGGATTACTTGAGAAGTTTTGTACTATGGACTTTGTCATTGTACCACTGCTGTAATCTTCTTGCCTGGTCTTGGCAGAAAGGCTGACAATGTGAC